AGTGAGCACATCTGGGTTGGGCAGAAGTCATTTTACAACATTGGTTTAAATAGCGTCAATAACGAGACGCGGTGACTTGAGCGGCTGTGCCGCGCGCGCGCGCACACACACACAGATTCAATAAGCGCGCACGCTGCTTTAACTCCGGCGCGCCGTCAGACTGAAGGCAGAAATGAACGCTGCCTCCACCACGATAAAAACTTTTAAGAGGTTATTTTTCATTCAAGGTCAAATTAAGATATTAGCTTCTGGGATGAGTCGGATCCGCTCCAGCCAGTGACTCCTCATGAACCTGACCACATCTCATGTTACTGCAGCATTTGTTATTCCAGTCAGCGTGGCAGCGGATCACAGATTCAGCCACACCATAAAACAGCAATAAGTCGGTCTGAGGTAAAAGTGAACATCATGGCTATATCTTTTCCCCTATTGACATTTGATTACGCACAAGTAGGTGATCAGCTCAGGTTTACGCAGAGCAGAAGGAAGGAGAGCGCTCTGGCCGCACAGGTTAAACGTTCCTACTTTAAGAAAACCGTTAAATTGCATTGTTTATGTGCTACCTGGGCACTCTAAATATTTATTTAAAATAAAATCAAAGGAAATTGTAATGGTATCGAGTGTTTATTAATTACTATTTAAAAAATGAAAGTGATGGGGAATTTTTTTTTAACCCTGTCTGTTTAGCTTGACATCTGATATATAAATATATATATATATATATATATATAGAGAGAGAGAGAGAGAGAGAGAGAGAGAGAGAGAGAGAGAGAGAGAGAGAGAGAGAGAGAGAGAGAGGCATGCCCTGATGTGGGGGCTGGGGGGGGGGGGGGGCGTCGACATGGTCGGGACATAGAAGGGGGTGCACGGCTAAATAAGTTTGGGAACCACTGATCTACCTGTAAGTTTTTTCCCGCCTGCTTCAGGTCAGCTGGATGGATTTTAATATCAGAGCTTTTGTTTATGTGCGTTTGAGTCGGTGGTTAGTGTGTGTGGAGCAGTGAGGTAGCTGCATGTCTGGGACAGAAAATGGGACATGAGAGAGACTTCTGAAGTGTAGAAGAAACTCACAACAAAGAATCACAGATGTTGATATTTCTCACCGTAGATTCTCCGGGTCATAACTTCTGAATTACAAATCGAATAAAAATACTTCAAATGGTTTCTAACAGTACATAAAACAAGCTTTTCAACGAGGTATTACATGATGTAATTCATGTTACTCGAAAAATCGCTATTAGAGGGAAACCAGCTTTGCAGCGTCACAGAAAAAAATGGAGCGAACCACGACGGGAGAGCAGAGAACCAAAGGGAGGAGATATGGACACGTCAATAATAAAATCCGCCTGGTTGGTCAGGTGTCCCAGAAGGCTGTATGTGTAGATGGTGACATGAGGAGGGACAGATTACAGTCACACTGGTTTTTATTTGAACACTCAACTGTTTACTAAATGATTCAGCTTCATTCCAGCATTATTTATACGTACAATAAATATTTATTTAGCTGAAAATATAATTTTATCAGTGTAGAATTTTATTGACTTTTTGTAATGAATATTTAATCTTTCATTTGGCTTATTGATCTTCATAATGCTGATAGAAATGTAGCTACAGATGTGAAGTAGCCTATGAGTGTTAATTTATGATACTTAGTATTTATTTTACTGTATCCCGTTCTCTGGACCAGACAGGGTCACAGACAGGCTGCAGTCATTAAACTGGTAAACGTGAGGTCAGGGGTCACACTTTTTTCTGAGTGTTTGCAACACAGTTCTGAGTTTAAATAGTTCTTTTGAAATAGTTTGCTCAAGTCATTTTGAAGTACCTGTTTAGTAATAAATGTAAAGAAAATTCAAATCCTTTTTTTTCAATTAAGCTGCAGTTTAACAGACTTTAATAAACATAAACACAAATACAAACCAGACTCTGAAAGCTGAGGTTGTTCTGAAAAAAGGAGCAGAGTTACAAATATTTTACACTTTTATTACAAATTTAAAGCCATAAAACAAAAACAAAAATACTTGTTATATTTATGGTCATAAGAGGGTTAACCGTGATAAATGTTCCACCTCCCACAAAGAGATGGTAAAAGTGAATGTGAGCATAATTATATACGTTTTATGACTTTATTATGTATTTTTTATTGACTATTACTCCAAAGGGTTCAGATGAATGATAAATGGCCCGCACTTGTATAGCACCTCTCAGAGTAAGGACTCCAAAGCGCTTTACACTACAGTGTATCATTCATCCATTCACACACACATTCACACACTGATGGGGATGAGCTACGAACAGCTGCCCTGGGCGCACTGACAGAGGCGACTAATGAAGGCAACTGGACTTCTTTGGTTTCTTTAAAACATTTCACTTCTCATCTGAGGAGCTTTGTCAGTTCTAACTGGAATATGGGAGAGTCAAGCTTATAAGCTGTAGCTGTCTGTTGTTATTTAAAGAGCAGAAACTACTCTGAGTACCCCGCCTCTCCATCTCCTGATGAGTCGTTAGCCTCTATTGATGGTGAGTCATCGTGTTGATTAGATGCAGGAAGGTGTGACCTAGACTGAAACTGCTTAGGAATGTGATTCAAATCTGCATTATTGGTACTGGAAAGGTGAAATCTAAGCCCCTCCCCCATTTAAAGTGGGGTTTTCACGTTTGACATAGATAGCTTATTTTACTCTTCTCTCAAATCATCTATCTTCTCTGTCCAGAATGTGGACTTTGTCATTTTCAAAGGTGTGTCCCTTGTCCTTCAGGTGAAGGTGGACTGCAGCGTTTTGACCTGAAGAGGCGGCTCTCCTGTGTTGTGTTATGTTCTTGTGTAATTGTTGTTTAGTTTCTCTAATGTAAACATCTGGACAGTGCTCCTACACTGGACTGCATAAACGACCCCACTGAGCTTCTGTTTGGGTGTTTTGTCTTCTGGATGGACCAGGTTCTGTCTGAGGGTGTTGTTGGGTTAAAGTTTACCGGGATGTTGTGTTTGGAGAAGATTCTTCTAAGTTTCCCTGGGACTCCTGCCACGTATGTGATGATGGTGCCTTTGTGTAAAGGGTGTTGTTGTTAGGTTGGTAGCAGAGCTCTCATGTTTAGTGTTAAGTTCAGTGAGATCATGGAATGGGATCAAGAATTTTCTACTGACAGGGAAAAGATCTCAGCTAACATAGCTGTAGATCACACTGGATAACTCTCTGTGGTTGCATTTATTTTACTACCTCTTACTAGAGCTGTCTTTAGTAGGTGTAAAATATATTTGGTTGTACACCTGTGCAATAGCAATAAAGTATCTTGATTCCTGTTAAATGTACTTCCTGAATGAGTGACCTTTTCAGGCTAAAATAACAAAATGACAAATACAGACAGAAGGACGACTTCTTTCTTCTTTTATAACGCGTTGCATCACCACCTGGTATCAAAACAGGACTCAGTATTGGAAGATAATCAAAATCAAAGAACTTGGACTCAGATCAGGGGCAGAAATGTGGTTGTAACATCTCTAGATATGTCAGCTTTAAAAACTAAAACTATTATTTATGAACTAACATTAACACTAATGACACTAATTTATATTTTTTTATTATGTTGTTTGAACGGCTGCTGTACTGGTGCAGCAGCAACAACCTGGAGCTCAATGCTCAGAAGACAGTGGAGATGATTGTGGACTTCAGGAAAGTAACAGCCCCATCTCTCCCCCTCGTCCTGACGGACTCCCCCGTCACCACTGTGGACTCCTTCCGCTTCCTCGAAACCACCATCACACAGGACCTTAGGTGGGAGTCATCCATCAGCTCCCTGATCAAAAAGGCCCAGCAGAGGATGTACTTTCTGCGGCAGTTGAAAAAGGCCAAACTGCCGACCCAGATGATGGTGCAGTTTTACACGGCCATCATTGAGTCCATCCTCACCTCCTCCATCGCTGTGCGGTACGCTGGAGCCACAGTGAGGGACAAACATAGACTGCAGCACATTGTGCGCTCTGCTGAGAAGGTGATTGGCTGCAGCCTTCCATCTCTCCAGGACCTGTACGTCTCCAGAACTCGGGGGCGTGCAGGTCGGATAGCAGCTGACCCTTCGCACCCGGGTCACAGACTTTTTGAGCCGCTTCCCTCAGGCAGGAGGTTACGGTCCATCTGGACCAGAACCTCCCGCCATAAGAACAGCTTCTTTCCTTCTGCCGTTAGACTTGTGAATAGCTTATAAACACACAACCATGCTCGTCTTCTGTACTCGACACAAAGTCACGTTATCGGCCATGTTACCATTACCTGCCATTTTTTATAGCTGAAAGTTTTATTCTAGTTTTTTTATTTATTATATTTTATTATATTTTATTCTATTTTTAATCTTATTATTCATGTTATATGTAGCACATTAGTACCAAAGCAAGTTCCTAGTTTGTGAATTGTTTGTTCACTGACAATGGCAATAAACCTATTCTGATTCTGATTCTGAACCCAAGGGTCTCATTATCAGAATTTTCTAACTTGTTTGATTGCTCTATAAGTGCCCCTTTTTTTTACTTTAACCACCAGCCCAGTCAAAGGTCTCTGTCTGTCTGTTATACGGGCAGTGGCGCCCCCAAGGTGTGGTATTGTTCACCCGTAATGAATTAATGGTACCTCCCTTACCCCGCCCCTTAATAAATCGCCTTAATGTTCCCACAAACCAAACACATACATCTTCTAAGTAAGTTACTAAGTTCACTTAGACATGTGTAAGTCATGGTGAGTCAACAGTACAATGAAATGTGCTTGAAAATGGAAAAATAAACTCATATTTTAGTTAAAATATTTAAATCATTTTTGCTTTTTTATGAAAAACAAAGATGAAGCAACAAATCAGCTAAATTCTCCCAGAGTTACAACAGGGACCGATTTGGTGTGCAGCTCCAGAATTCCTTTGCCCCGTCTTGGGCCCCCCATGAAAATAGTGCGGCGCACTGCTGTAAACAAGGTTTAACGTTTTTCTTCCTGGTAGAAAACAAAGCACAAGAAAAACACGTTTAAAGACATTTTATTTTCTACTCAGTGAACAGTTGCAAATGTCCTGATAATATAAAGATAAGAGGGTAACAGGAGGCCCAGAAATCATCCATTCTGAGGTCAGTTGTAATGTAGCTTTGTATTTTTTGAATTTTCAGCCTGAGCAGCTACTCTTTAGCCAAACAATACATGCATGCCAGTTTAAACTACGACAGCCATAATAAAGCCTGGTTCATGCTTCTCCGTCCGCTCCGCAAGGGAGAGACACTCACGGATTGACGGAAGCGTTTTGCTCTCATACTTCTCCGTCTCCTGGGGAGTGTTGCAAAGCAATTCCCCGGCAGGACAGCAGAGGGCGTAGCGCTGTTCTGTGGTATCCTGTCATGTATCGGTCCAAGATAGTGTGTTTATATTGTGTTTTTTTGTGTATTTAAGAGACTTTTTAACACTGACTTATTTGTCTCTCATCCTCCTCCACCTCTTCATGCGCTCGCAACCTCTAAATCCACGTTTCCTGTCATTTCCGTCGACAAATAAAATGTCTGCTGCGCATCTTTTCACTCCTCCAGTCACGGGGGAATTAAACGTTCACATTTTTAGAGTTTTTCGCGAGGATTCTCCAAGCTTCTCCGTCTCTGCCGCTTGTTATCCTCGGCTCTCTTTGTTTTTGAGGGCGCAATGGCGGCGCTCTAAACAACAGCGGCGTCCTGACCAATCACAAGCTTGCATTGTCCGTCTCGACTGACGGATGTTTAGAAAAGAGAGCTCGACTCCGTACGTACTTGTGTGCCTGCCGGGGCCCTACGCAAGGACGGATAACGGCGTTGCGTGTCTCCTCACTGACGCAGGCGGAGAAGCATGAATCAGGCTTAAGTAGGACCAAATATTTTAGTTTGTGCAATAATTACTCAATACAGCCTGATGACAAGATTCCAGTGTCTCATTCGGGAGGCTTTAGCGAGAAGGTTGTCTACAAAGTATGAATCAAAGTCATTCAAACCTTCCAAGACATCTTGGATTTATCCAGTCCAACAGGCAGATCAAGTTTTTTTGACCCTGGAATTCAGATTCTGACCCATATGTTTTGGATCTCGGAGCGGAGGCCAACAAACCAGTCCTGTCCATGTAAACAAGAATATTCACAGCCAAAAACCTGTTGTGATGTATGCCTGATTGATGATCAAGCTGCAGTTTAAACCCTGCAGTGTTCCGTATGACAGATCTGTGCTGACACACTACTTAAGATGATTGACTGACCGAAGGCAAAAGGAAAATCTGCTTAATAAAGAAGTCTCCCTTAATTTTGGACAGCCTTGCTTCTTCTTTTTGGCAAATCTGCAGATGAGGACATCTAATCTGTGGGTGTTGGGATTTAAAAGTAATGAATGGAAGCTGCTAAACGGCAACAGCCAAAGCCTAATCTAATCCCTGTTCTGTCAGTTTTCCTGCTTTAAGTAACATTTGTAATATTCATGGGGGTGCTATTGCTGCTCTTCCACTTTGGCAAACTTCGCTTCAGGCTTTGTGTCACTTTAGAACCACCCGTTGTTTCCTCCGGGTTCTTGCAGAAACAGTACACCCCGTAGAGGCGGAACTTTTTATCTGGGAAGCCCAAGTGTCGGACTCCTGGCTGGGATCCTCCACAGCGAGAGCGAGGGTTGACTATAGGGTACCGAATGCTGCCGTCCTCCAGCCAGCCGGCTTCACAGCGGTCCAAAAGCTGAAACTTCCACGCTGCATAAAGCTGACCCACTTTAGCCACCGCTGAACCGTCTCGAATGCATGCCTTCACCGCCTCTGCATAGTTCACTTTCTTGAAGCGCTTGAGGAAGTACACCTTTCCTGTAAGTATGCAGAAAAAACATGTTAGGAATGATGGATTAACCTGAGAAAAGATCAAATCCAGAGATGGATGGAAGCCCCCTGGTGCTTATACTCCTCTGCAAACAGTCATGGTGCTTGTTCTGCTTGACAAACTAATCACAGCTAAACTGATGAGAAACATGAAAACTGGGAGATCAACAAATAACAAAGAATTCAATGGGAGTCAATACCTGGAAAAATGTATTTGAGCTGTACTTTTAGGTTTTAATCAGAAAAACATCCTATTGTTGGGATACAGAGGGGGTGAGACCTACAATCTGAACTGGTTGGTTTTCTTCGTTCTGGCTTCTAGATTATAATTCTCAATAAGGTACAATATGATGAACCTGATTTTCACAAAGGTCAAAGGTCGGGTTTATTTATAAGCGCTGTTACAAACAAATCCTTGTTGTCCTAAAGAGCTGGAAAAGCACTTCAGTAAACATGAGAGAACATGAACAAAGATTACAAGGTCATATGAAATAAATAAAAATAACTAAGCAATGAAAGTGTAATGTCACCCTTTAAAGCCTAAAACTCAAACTAGCAGGAGAAAAGTCTCTGGTAAATAAATAAATATAAACATTGATGCTGCATGTGTTCAAGGATGGCCCTATTTCTAATACTTGTTCCTTCTTGACTGAATTCAATTCAGTTCAATTGAGTTTATTTACATAGCACCAAATCATGTCAGGAGTCGTCTCAGGGCCTTTCATAAAGTAAACATAATACATAATACCAGTCAGTAAAAGGTTTCCAATGTAAGGAACCCAGCATAATGCATCAAGTCACCAACAGGCATCAGTTTCTTTACAGCAATCCTCATACTAAGCAATATGAATGAATGAATAAAGGTGGAAAGCAGTTGCATCATTAGTCAGATAAAGGTCAACGTTGAAGTCAAACTGAGTTAAAACCCAACGCACAAAATGTGTCTTGAGAGATCTTTCTATGACAAGTTTATGAAGTTCTTTCTACAAAGGCCTTCTCACATGAAGCTATTTCATCTATTGTAATTTTGACATTTTCAGTACCTTCCAGAATGATCCATTTCAAGACTCTGTCACCAATAAAACTGATGCCTTTTTTAACAAAAATAACAGATGGTTGTAACATCTAGTTGCTCCCAAAACTGCCCATAAAAATCATGTCAGCAACCTCGGCCTGGTTCTTGCCTTAGCTATTGATTGTCTGCTTATTTGTGAGACTGAGGGCTATTATAGAGGCAGAATATTGTCTCGTACTCCCTCAGGGGACTTTCAGTAAAACGCCTTCCAGCTGGACCGAGGCTCACTATTTGTTTTTGACCACTGCTGCAACCTGCAGCCCACAGCAGACTGTCCTCAGTAATTAACACACATGGGAAGCAACGAGCAGCTATATGGAAGGTTTTACTAAAATTACAGTTATTTTCACAGAAAAAAAATTCTTCCTGAGTGTATCGAGACCCAAACACTGTTTGTGACTGAAATGAAGTCTATCGCCTTTTCTTTGATCTTTAAACAGCTATGAAGTCATGTTTATCAGACCTAGAGTTTATTTCACATTTATTTGGTAACAGAAAATTTCAAATTTCAAGGTATTATGACAGTCATCACAAAAGCTTTGATGACCACAATAAATCCAAATACAGAAAGATATTTTTCAATGGGAAAATCATGGCAGTTGTTGGTCAGCTGTTTCTGTTAGCAGGATAAAATGTCATGGGGTCCATCATGGAAATGGAAAATAGAGAAAAGTAAGTTTCTGAAGGGTTAAAATGAGTGTAAACTGGCTTAGGCCCTGTCCACAGGTAGCCGGGGATCTGCCAAAACGTAGATATTTTTCTACGTTTTGGCCTGTCATCCATACGAAAACGGAGTTTTTTCACACGAAAACGGATCTTTTTAAAAACTCCGGCCAAAGTGAAGATCTGCGTTTTCTCCGTTTTGGGTGTCTGCGTGTGGACGGACAAAACCGGAGTTTTAAGTTCCGCAACGTCACTTTCCGCGACAAAAAATGCTGACATCACGTGTGCGACCTGTGTTTACACTAGCCGACAGCATGGATGCCCTCAGAGCTGCGCTCGCTTTATCAATTGTCCAAGCGCTTTCTGCTTGTTTGTTTTTTCAAGCAGAATTACTGCTCCTTGCGGAAGACCACAGACGAAGGGCGAGGTTAAGAACAGGGGAAGTACTGCCGCCTACAGGTCTGGCATGTCCTTAACAACGTATTTATCCGGGTACGTGTGGACAGAGTTTTGTTTTAAAACGAGGTGGTGTGGATGCAAGTTTTTGGAGGGGCGGATATTCGTTTTTAAAAAACCCGGCTACGTGTGGACTAGGCCTCAGTGGCTTGCTAAAGTGTCAGCATTACAACATTTGTAACTATTTTCATTGGCCCTACCACTGAGTGTGAGACATCACCAAAAATGTCTTTTCACTATGTATTAGGATTCAGTCATTTCTAAAATTGGGCTTAATTAATAGATATGAAGGCTAATGTCCATTAAAGAGGAAAACTATTAATTACGGCCTGCCAGAATGTTCCTTTAAGTAGCAGAATATTAAAATATTAAGAACAATTTTAGTATTGACTGCATCTCTACATGCACACAACAGCTGAGTCTTTTACTACTCCATTTTCTTGTCTGACAAGAGGATCTTGTCATGTGTCATCTGCCCTGCGGACTGTGCAGAACTTTGATGTGATTAAAACTAACCCAGTCTTTGACTTTCCCAAGTTTCTTTAGGGGTATAAACCCAAAGGTGCCGTGTGCAGGCTTTCTTTGGGAACATGATGTAAATTAAAGCTCTAAGATGAAAGTCAATGCTTTGCACCCAGAGGACGCCATGGTCCTTGCAGGACGGAGCCTTTACAGTCTGATTTTAATCCAGTGGCCTCAGGCTGCCAAGATCACAGAGATCACAGAAATGGGTCTCGGTTTCTCGTCATCCAGCGCCCCTGATACATCCTCCTTAAGCCAGCTCTGACGATAATATTCTCTCCTTCAGTCACACAGAGCCACACACACTAAAATCTGGTTTAAGGTATTTGCATTTGAGTTCAAGCAGCTACCCCTGAGTTATTTTTGACACATCTATCTGTTTGTCTCTGTCCAACTCACCATTGGGTTTAGAGGTGAAGCAGAAAGCATCATAGCGCTCGTCGTCCTTGTGCCTGTAGCCGTAGTTCCGTACCCCAGCAGGCGTGTCCTTACGACCGCACTGGTCTCTGGGATGAGAGATGGGGTACTGGACTGAGCCGTCCTCCAGCCATCCAGCATTACACCAGTCCAACCCATCCAGCCAGGCCTGATGATGGGTTAGTGGGTCAGAGTGAAGGATTAAAGACGTTAAAAGGACCGGAACATTTTTTTCTCTATCACCCCTGTCACATCTCTATTAGCCTTAAACCTAATTGCCTGCAGCTCTTTGTTCTGACCGCAATCCAGCTCTTCTGCGTATTTTATGATTTTAGACTTGCTCATCTAAAATGTTCGTGACGTCTCCAAATAGGCTCAAAGTTGCAACTTAAACATGTTTCATGAGAGAACAACGGAACATACATATTCCTGGGTCATTTCTGTATTTTTCTTCAACATCACAGGAAAACCAAAGTGTGAACTGACTTTGTGAAGCTGAGCATGAGAAGCCAGGATGGCATCCTGGTGTTTGCAGGCATCTTCTGCCTGGTGGTAGTTGAGCTTATAGCGCCCCTCGCGGACGTAGTATGGAAAGACCACTCCTGCGTGGGCAAACAGCAAACATAGCACCAGAGAACCCAGACATTTGAGGCATTTTACCTCAAAATAATCCAGAAAACTGATTCCTAACCTTCTAGGTCAAGGTTCACAAACCCCGTATCGTCCTCCATGTCATTTGTGACCTCACACTCGTAGCGTCCGTAGTCCTCCAGCGTGACGTTTTGGATGATCACTGAGGCATCACCTCGTCCCGCCTGCTCCAAAAACACCCGTCCTTGATATGAGCCGAACACACGCTGCTGCCTGGAGACAGTTTACAGACATGCTGTCAATTACAGTAGAAGCAAAAGCATCGCTGTGTGCAGCTCTGCCAGAGTAAACTTTGCAGAACTGGTCTTACTTTGTGGGTTTATTAAATAACAGGAAGTTAGTGAAATAAATAAAAACTTGCAATTTTTGTTAATAATTCAGAGCATAAATTATTCTTTTGTTTTAAGAAACGTGGAAGCTGAATTTACTTTCCAAGCGCCACAAACACATCCTCAAATTGCAGAGCATCAGTCACTTTAGTCCATTTAATGCGAATGCGAGCGGGATCGGTGTTATCCGGCTCGTGATGAAATCTGCACGGCAGAGTGATGGAGCCACCTCGATGTGTCACCACCTTACCAGGAGCTGTCTGCACAATCACAGCTCCGGATTCATCCTCTGAGGGAGGAAAAGGGAAAAGCAAGATCAGTTGTGACAATCAATGGTAGTAAACCAATAGTTTAACGTGTGTTTTTTTTTCTGATCGCAATAATCTACATACTTGATTTTTTTCATTTGTTTAGTCATGCTTGGATCTGACATCAGAATATATTTTTCTAAAATTCAGACCCATCATGAACATCTGATCCAAGAATAGCATGAACAACGGAAAGACCTTATTTGTATGCTGTTTGCAAGCATTTACTGGAGCATGGCATTACCATGTAAATGCATAGAAACAAGCAGCTGTGAAAGGCTTCTTGCAACATGTGGACCAGATAATAACACAGACAATTATCCAGCAGCTTCTCCCTTCACTGCCAGCTGCTCTTAAACTCTGCCATGACAGCATCAAGTGGTGCTTAATCTAAACTTTTAATTAGAAGGCTAAAAGGTTACACTGGTTTTTATATTGATGAGATAAAATTGTGGTGGGTTGTGTTTGAAAGTTTAATGACAGCAAAAAGCTACAGATCAACAAATGGTACTATCTTTCCTCTCCATATAAAGCACCTGAGGCATTCTTCACAAGCATGTGCACTTGAGTTGGTGGGTTCAAGCAAAACTAGGATCAACGTGTTTCGTAGGATGCACATTTACTTCATTTTCCAAGGAAGAACATCTTGAGTTTGCGTCTCTGCTCAGTGTGCTTCTCACCCACGGGAAGTGTGCTTTGAAGCTTGTTGTCAGCATGTTTTTCATGATGTTTGTCAGTTTTACAGTTTGAAATCAATTAAATTAAATTAAATTCAAATATACTTTATTAATCCCAGAGGGAAATTAGAGTTTCAGTACACACAATTCTGAGATCAGACATACATGCATACATAGACACATGACAAGAATTGGTGACTGTGGTCTTTTGTGACCCGAGTCGTGCTACCGTAATAGATCATGAGGGTTTATATGAGGATAGAGTCGGGGGAGGGGAAAAAAGGCACTTCAGAGTTACTCTCACCCGAGAGGGCAGCTTTGCCAGGCAAAAAAAACACCTCAGACAGATATGCACACACTTCTGACATTCCACAACATAAGTATCCGCTAGGTGGGGAGGCAGGGTTGGGACTCTCCTCACTACGGTGCGTGCATCCACATGGTGCAGCGCTTATCACCTCAATTTGGACGGGAGGGAGATTAATGGGTTAGAGGGCACAGTGACTCCTATATACGGTTCCATGGCCTTCACCGGTCACAGTCCCACCCAGGCTGGGAGAGGGAGAAAGAGCTGCCTAGCGACGGCAGCTGTGACGTGCACCGTCTACTTTTGGCCTCAAGAGGCCCTCGGTCCGCTGCCTGCACAGCTGCAGGCTGTTAGATAAATTGAGCCTCCCTGTTAAAAGGGAGCTCTTGGAGATATTCTGGGAGAGATGTGCAGATGGGTGTTGGCACGGAGGTGTTTGCTCTCCTCTCTAGCTCTCCTCGCAGTACAGACGTTAAAAGTCTTCGATTCGCTACCTGAGTGGTATTTCCGTTTGTGTTAAGACCTTAGTGGTATTTTTGTGTTTGATAATATTAATAGTAATTCGTGTGTCTTCGTTATAGAGACTTTGCTCACCCTTTTGGTGCAGTTTTGCGTTTACCGTTTAGCCTTATTCCAGCCTATGTGCTGCGCTTTTAGTTTATTATTAGATATCGTTTTTCTTTATTGGGAAATTCCTTTGTTTATTAATACCCAGTTTTGGATGACCCTTTTGTTCCCTTTTCAGCCAAGAGCTTCGTTTTTGTTTAATAAATTTCTTATAGAGAACTGTAAAAGTGTTTGTTTCTTTACAGTACAAAATCTTCTTTACTCCCTTAACCACATCGTGCTCCTAGCGAAGCCGAGGGACGTAAAAGAGTGGGGGCTCGTCCGGGATTTTTTGTTATTTATAAAAAAAATTTACCCGTAATTTTCATTTGTACTGTGCTTAAAACTAACCTTTTATTTTTTTCTCTTAGAGGCGAAGCAGGAATCATGTCTACCTTTGACATGCAGGCATTTGTGGAGGCTCCATCACGCCAGCTGCTGGAGAATTGCAGAAAATCCGATCTGCAGCAGGTTGCCGCCCACTTCAGTCTGCTCGTCCCCAAGCAGCTAACGAAAGACGCCCTACGTCAGTTCGTCTTGGATTTTCTGGTTGCACAAGAGATTCTTCCGCCTGTGTCACGCCCTCCGTCACCCCCGGTGACTAACGAAGAAGAGAGGATGGAGAAGCCTGAACTAGCCTGCTCCTCGGAGTCCGCTTCACCTCAGCAGAGCCCTTCGTCATCTCCGTTAACCGGAGCTCGCCTGAAACTCCGACTGGCTCGTTTGCACATTGAGGCCGAGGAACGCGCTCTGGAAAGAAAGCTTCGACATGAGATTGAACTCAAAAGACTGGACGCGGATATTCGACTGAGAGAACTTGAGCTCACGTTACAGAGCAGGAAGCGTGATCCTGCCACTGTTCGGACTGTTCAACCAGCCGGGGACTCAGACGCCGCCATTTCGCCTCCCCTTGGGGATGTCCAACCGCCATCTGAGACTCCGCTTACTCCTACGTCTTCTACGACACCATTCGACATCAGCAAATGCCTCACGCTCCTGCCTCCCTTCCGAGAGACTGAAGTGGATGGGTACTTCCTTGCTTTCGAGAGGATGGCTGCGATACTCCGGTGGCCTCGCGATGTCTGGCCTTTGCTTTTGACCTGTAAGTTGACAGGTAAGGCTCTTCAGGTGGTGTCTGCTTTGTCTCTAACAGACAGTGCTAATTATGATACGGTAAAGTCTACTGTTTTGCACGCTTACAAACTCGTACCGGAAGCCTACAGGCAATGGTTCCGCTCCGAAACACCGCGAGACAATCAGTCTTACGTCGAGTACGCTCATAACAAATCGGTTTTGTTTGAAAAATGGTGTGTTGCTTCTCATGTCACTTCAATAGCTGAGCTCAAAGAGCTAATCCTCTTAGAGGAATTTGAGACATGTCCCCGAAAGACTAGTACACTACTTAAATGAACAGAAGGTTACTTCCTTCTCCGAAGCCGCCTTACTCGCTGACCAGTTTTCTCTCACCCATCGAGTCAAAGAAACTCGTTCAGAGCCCGTACGAGGAGTCAAATCTCCTCCTAAACTTCGCCCTGCTACTGAGAGTTCTGAGTGTTTTTACTGCCACAAGCGTGGCCATGTCATCAGGGACTGTTATGCTCTAAAGCAGAAAAACAGACGAAACGGCGACTCGCCCAGAAAAACCCGACCGGAAGTGGCTCTTTGTTCATTAAAACCCTGTGCTGAGATAAATGTAACCAAGCCCAACTCATGCTACAAACCATTTTTGTCAGAGGGGCGTGTATCACTTCCGGGTTCTGCAACAGATGAAAAAGTGGTGATATTAAGAGACACCGGAGCTTCACAAACGTTAATTAAAAAGAACGTTTTGCCTTTTTCCGAAATGAGCCGAGCTGGCTACTCTGTGATTTTACAAGGCATTGAAATGAGAACAGTTGCTGCTGAAGTGCATCAGATTAATCTGTCTTGTCCTTTAGTTTCTGGTGTTTTAGCTGTGGCTGTAGTGGATGATCTGCCAACGAAAGGGGTGCCTGTTCCTGAGCTCATCACAGAACCAGAGGTGCAAGAGAGTACTGACAGTTTGCCTGCCTGTGTTCTAACTCGAGCTCAAGCAAAGAGGGATCCAGATATAACCCTCCAAGGTTCCGTTCTGAGCAAGCTTTTCTCAGATTCTGGTAAACAACCAGATTCTGCCATTCGTGTGTTGCCTCAGGTTACTCCTGAGAACTTCCCCATAACCTGTGATGCTCTAGTGGAAGCTCAAAATTCGGATGAAACTCTGAAGCCCTTCTTCGCCCTAGTTCGTGGTGATGCTGAGTCCGCAAGTAGTCCCTCTACTTTACTTTAATTTACTTGGGTTCTGCTTTTGCTAAGCTCCAACATCCCATTCTCTTGGACCTCTGAATGTAACCAGGCGTTCCTTGCTCTGCGTGACCTACTCTGTTGTGCTCCAGTTCTTACAGCTCCTGACCATTCTCGACCTTTCAAGCTTGAGGTCGATGCCTCTGATGCCGGAGCTGTGCTTCTCCAGGAAGATGCTGGTAGACTTGATCACCCCATCTGCTACTTCTCAAGGAAGTTTAACCTTGCACAACGCCGTTATTCCACCATAGAGAAGGAGACCCTAGCCCTCATATGGTCCCTGCAACATTTTTCTGTTTATGTTGGCAACAGTGCATTCACCACCATTGTGTTTACAGATCATAATCCGCTGGTCTTCCTCCACTGAATGTACAACCACAATCAGCGCTTGATGAGATGGGCCCTCTTCCTCCAAGAATTCAGCTTGGACATCCGCCACAAGAAAGGGACAGAAAACCTCATGGCTGACGCCCTTTCCCGCAGTTTTTCGATTGAGACTCCCTTGTAGGTTTTAGATTGTTCGATCTCTGATAAGGCTAGTGTTGTCTGTTCATTCAGACATCTCGGGAACACTCCGCGGCGCTGGGGATCAGCGCCGTGAGATATTTTGTGTTTAATCTGCCCACCTTTGAGATCTAGGGGTTAGTTAGTTAGTTTTATTTTGTGTGTAGTTAGCGGGAGTTCTCTTTAGTCGTTCGGTTACAACAACTATGGTCATTTTTAGTTGTTGTTTTGAGGGGGGGAGTGTGACGTGCACCGTCTACTTTTGGCCTCAAGAGGCCCTCGGTCCGCTGCCTGCACAGCTGCAGGCTGTTAGATAAATTGAGCCTCCCTGTTAAAAGGGAGCTCTTGGAGATATTCTGGGAGAGATGTGCAGATGGGTGTTGGCACGGAGGTGTTTGCTCTCCTCTCTAGCTCTCCTCGCAGTACAGACGTTAAAGTCTTCGATTCGCTACCTGAGTGGTATTTCCGTTTGTGTTAAGACCTTAGTGGTATTTTTGTGTTTGATAATATTAATAGTAATTCATGTGTCTTCGTTATAGAGAGACTTTGCTCACCCTTTTGGTGC